AATTTCATTCAAGATGATCTCTAGTTCTTACATTTTCTTCCTAACAAAAATTGTACATTTTCTTCCATTTCTATACTAAACCTCTTTAAATTTGTTTAAATAAATAATTAGTCATGTACCAATTGGGTGTTAGTTAGATTGGCCGAGGTCTTTGGAGTGTTTCCAAGTGGTCCTGAGTTCAAGCCCTCATAGTACCGTATGTGTGAACTTCCTTCCTCTCCCTTCCTAATTTTGGCAAAAAAATAATTAGGCATGTCAATATCATTTATTAGTAATAAATAAGATTTAAAGTGGACCCGTAAATATTTATTAGTAATACATAAGATTATTGCACATATTTGCCTTTTTCTTTCTAAACGAATGTTTGATTCTACAAAATAAGTAATTTTTTTTTTTACGGGGTACAATAAATTCCTATTTATTTGTTACTGAGACATAGAATTGATAGGGAAATGTGGCCAAGTGGCTAATGCACAAGTCTGCAAAATTTCTATTCGTCGGTTTATCTGAAGTTTGGTCCAAAATTCCTAAATAGATCATATCAGACATGCAGTTGAAAGTTTTTGGGTTAATTTGATGCAGTAAAATTGAAGTTTCTGCAGTATATGAATATCCAGTTGGTAAAATTGAAGACACTGTACAAATGCAAAACTAACGACAAAAAAAAAAAAGCGTTGCTGAAAACTAAGAACTTAAGAAGTAAGTTTTGTTTTTGTTTTTCTTTCTTGTGTCAATAATTAAGGAGTAAGTTTTGGTTAACTTATGAAGTTTTGAGTTTGTGAGCAGGCTTTGTACAATTTGTAAGCTTTGCTGTCGACAAGGCAGGTGTGTTATGGTATGTGCTGGCATGGCAATCAAGTACAGCAATGTGTCAGCGGCTGAAAATTTTGGCACGGAGAGAGGAAGTTAGAGTAGTCTGCAGGCATGGGAATTTGTACACGTGTTAGCGGATATATATATACAAGTCATGTTCCATTGAGACAAACAATCCAAACCGTCTATTTTTGAAGTTTTCATTCATATATCATCTTTACAAAAAAAAAAAAAAAGATAAATGAAAAATTATTAAGACATCTAATTGATATCAACAAAATCAATGAATATAGTGCTTCAAGAAAGTGCTAAATTTCAATAATTTAATTGAATATTAAAATGATATTGTATTCAAATATTTTTTGTAGAGACGATTTTTGAATAAATATCTACAAAATAGACAGTTTGAATTAGTAAAATACGATGTGGAGTGGGCCCTACAAGGGTGTTCCTCAAATAAGTTATTTAGGGATCACTCAACGGAAATTCTTTGTGTATATATAGATCTCGGGCTTATGCATTTAGCATTCGTGCATTTACCCGCATTTTAGAATTTCTGAACCATTCAAATTATCCAACCGTTTAAGACATGACACATAAATAGTTATTTTTTCATCAAAAAATTGTTTTTAAATTAACAATTATTTTATTGTTACAAAATTAAAAAATCACGCCATTTCCACCGCCACGGGGGAAAGGGCTACGACTTCTTTGGCCAAACGGCTCAGATGAGGCTTCTCCAATCTTCCTTCCCATTCATTTATAGTGGGTCCTTCTTCTCCCTAAGTCAAAGCCAGCAATTGGCTGGTGGATTTCGTCCCTTAACTAGAAGAAGATAGCTTTGGGGATCACTGTGGTTTAAACCGTATTTGGTCTCTTTTCTTTTTGTTATGTTAAAGTCAACTTGCAATTCATAGGAAAGATAGGCCTATTAGTTATGTTCGCTTGCAAAGGAAGCCCATCTTTTCTAAGGGGCCTTATGCGCCTTTGGGCCGGATATGCCTTATCCAAGAAACTTATTTGCAAGGATCAAACGTCAATTTTAGAATTAAAAGTAGGTAAAGAAATGAAAAAAATAAAATAAAAAAATTATTCAGAGTATTAAGTGTAAACATAATATTGGGTCAAGCCATAAAACTCAATTCATAATCCAAGATCTTCAACTTCATCATTTTCATAATAGCATCAAACGGAAATTCAATAAACATATTTACATACATACCTTGACCATTGGCCTTCAATTAAACCAACATATTTATCTTGAGTGATTTGTAGACGAGTCGTTAATGTAGAGGAAATATCTCTATCCTTTTGCACATTAGAACCCTTAATATATGTTGTTGGTATGATAGACAGAGAGATGACCGGTTTCCCACTGTAACCCTAAGTAGTTAGCACCCATTACTGTTATATTAAGTAATCATGTCGGTATTCTTGCCATAAGAGAGATGCACTAATTTTAGTGGTTTATATGCTTTTGCTGTTGCTGTTGGCGTTTTATTTGCTGATGTTCTTGTCTCTGTTCTTCAGTCTATTCCATGGCTCTGATTGGTGCTTGATCACCACACCTTCTAGTTTGTCTTTTACTTTTTTGTGAGTTTCGAGTTTCTCATCCAAAAGGAAAATGACTTTCCAATTAAATTTTTCAGTTTAATTATCAAATCGCCATGTTATAACATGTGTGCTCATTAATACCGTAGATAGGTGAATGAGTGCTGCTAAACGAACCCTAAAATTAACTGAGTACACCCTACGATCTAAGTACACCCTAATATTTTAATCAAAATGTAAAATTAACTAAGTACACCCTATGAAACTACCAAAAATACCAATGGTAGACTCTAATACTTATAGCATTATTTTATAGTTGATTTTGAGCTTTATTTTTTTAATAGTATTTATAAATCTTTCACTTTTCATATGGATTTATGCTTCTACTAAAACTATTAACACTTTTTTGCAATTCCAAGTTCTTGCAATCACCTCTTTCGTTAAAAACACAATAGGACAAATGGGAAATCAACCACAAAGTATCTCATAACATTTTTTGTGCTGGTAGAAGCCAAATGAGCAAAAAGCCATCATAATTATTATATTTATGTTACAAAACAAGAACTGTTAATGGTATAATGAAAATGCAAATAATAATTAAGGTCACCAATATGATGCTTTACAAAACTACTCAATAAATATAGGGTCATTATCATAAGGGTCCGCTACGCCAGCTTCATATCTAAATTGACGTATACGATCCTGATATGGCGTAATCCAATCTGATGCAGTTATGGTTGGAGCACGTTTTTTTTTTTTTCTTTAACAGAAGATAGAAACAGTGCATGACTCCGACCAGAAAAAGAAAAAAAAACAAAATAAAACAATATCATGACATGACTAAAGGAAAAATATATCATGACCAGAACATGCAATATTGGACCCACGAAGCCCCTACCATGTGGAGCGACCAAAATTAAAGAAAAATAATATTACCAAACGTTATTTCTTTTTGGGGCTACAGTCCAAACAGTTTTGTCTCAATGTTTACCAGATTATAATAAAAAAGAATATATATTCATTTTTTAATATAATGTTTACATCTTATTAATACAGTTTTGTCACTTAGTGCACCTTTCTTCCTCTAGAAGAAGTATTCTATATGTTGTTGGTATGATAGACAGAGAGATGACCGGTTTCCCACTGTAACCCTAAGTAGTTAGCACCCATTACTGTTATATTAAGTAATCATGTCGGTATTCTTGCCATAAGAGAGATGCACTAATTTTAGTGGTTTATATGCTTTTGCTGTTGCTGTTGGCGTTTTATTTGCTGATGTTCTTGTCTCTGTTCTTCAGTCTATTCCATGGCTCTGATTGGTGCTTGATCACCACACCTTCTAGTTTGTCTTTTACTTTTTTGTGAGTTTCGAGTTTCTCATCCAAAAGGAAAATGACTTTCCAATTACATTTTTCAGTTTAATTATCAAATCGCCATGTTATAACATGTGTGCTCATTAATACCGTAGATAGGTGAATGAAATATCAATATTGTCGTCCATCTATATTATAATACTGTAACATTATGTGATGACGCGGTCATTTCACTCGAAACCTTCCATAAAGTATAAATAAATAATGTGAAATTTTAATTTACTTACCATCATTGTTTTAAATGATTTTTTTAAAGTGCACCTCATGGCGCTATATGCCGAAGCGTTGAGACGATTGTGACAAGAAGATAAATAATTTATTTATTTTCTGAGGAGCACTAATTTGAGAGCATTGGACGCATGCACGTGATCATGCTTAATGAGTAAAAGATTTGGCTCAATCTGATTTATGTACCGAGTTCTTTTGGGTGGTATAGGATTTAGGGTTCCAAAAGAACCACATTCGTGCCACCAAACCCCTCCTCCCCCTTCCATAATGGATGGTAGAAAGAAACATTGGGTGGCCACGGGCAGGGAGAAAGGAGCCACCGTCTATGGGCCGACTCCGACAAAGAGGTGGGGTTGGTTGTGTGGCCGTGGTCTGTTGGAGTGGAGTGGTTTCTAAATATAGCATTTTTATATATATAAAAAACAAAACCAAAAGGCATGTGGTAGATTTTGGTCGGTTTTATATATGAAAGTTGGAAGGTGATCATCATTGTTGCGCACTCAAAAAAGGGAGGATGGACCTTATATTATTAAGGCAATATTGTCTTTTGCGTGAAGGTGTAGGAATAAAATATATATTTTTGAAAAGGATATTTCAATGTTAACATCTCACGAGCTACAAAATACTAATGATTGCCTTATAAAGACAGAAAAAAAAAACAATATAATAGCAACAACCCACGTGAATCGCGAGATCATAAAATAAATGGGAGATCAAAATGAGCCCAAAAGTCTTTGATATGTCCAAATCATTATCTAATTCTTTTTATTTTTATGCTATGAGTATTTTGAGTTTTAACCACACATTTCAATTTAGAGATCCTATGCAGATGCTTTTGCATCTAAACCTCATGCTATTTATGGTTTACTTCATTTCTGTGGCCCCAGAATTCGCCACGAGTCTGCTTTTGTTTGATAATGTAGGTTTATAAAAAGTTAACCAAACTGAAGCCTACTCTGATGCAGATTGTACTTAGCTTCAGTTGAGGATCTTGCCACAAATGATTGCTTCTTTGCACTCCGATGAGAGTAGATCCTAGAAATATGCAATAACCTCCAGTAGATCATCGATCATAAGGGCAACCTGCCCAATCTGCATCAAAGTAGGCTTGCAAAGATAGAACATTGGTAGCTTGCTTTTGAATAAAAAGACCATGGCTGATTGTGCCTTTTTAAGGTATCTTAGAATTCTTTTTACCATTTGTAGATGAGGGTCTCTTGGAGTATGCATAAACTGACACACCTGATTGACTACATATGAGAGATCAGGCCTAGTCCAAGTAAGATACTGGAGAGTCCCCACAATAGAGCGATATTTAGCAGGATTAGGTAAGAGATCACTATTGTGATCCAATTTTGCAGAACCAACGGGACTGGCACAAGGTTTAGCACTAGTCATTTGCACCTTGGTGAGAAGGTTAGTGGCATACTTGGCTTGAGAAAGAAACAAACCAGTGGATGATCTCTGAACCTTGAGACCGAGGGAGTAATGAAGAGGACCAAGATCCTTGACTGGAAATAGTGCACCCAACTGAGTAATAACATAGGTACATTCTAAAGTAGAAGGACCTATGATGATAATATCATCCACATAGAACCAAAGAAGGAACTCGTTTGATTATAAAAAATAAAATAAAAAAGAGGTATCAAACTGTGAAGCACTAAAACCAAGAGAAAGAGGTGCTTAATGCAGTTTTTCATACCAAACTCGTGGAGCTTGCTTTAGACCATAAAGAAAATGATGGAGCTGATATACATGAGTAGGTTTAGAAGAATCCACAAAGCCTAGGGGTTGCTCCATATAGACAACTTCCTTATGAAAACCATGGAGAAAACCATTACTTACATCCAATTGATTAAGAAACCAGTTATGATGAACCACTAGGGTAAGCAAAAGTCTAATGGTGACTGGTTTGGCCATAGGGTTGAATGTTTCACCAAAATCCACACCCTCTTGCTGAAGATAACCTTTTTGCAACAAGGCGAGCCTTATATCTATTCACAGAACCATCGGGTTTTCGTTTGATTCAAAAAACCCACTTGCAGTTTACAAGATTCTGTTGAGGACAAGAGGGCGTTAAACTCCAAGTACCAATTAGTTGGAGAGCATTAAACTTATCTTGCATGGCTTGTCTCCAAGGAGCAAACTTAGAGGCTTGAAGATAGGTTGTGGGAACAAATTCTAATTGAAGTTGGCAGAGGATGTTTAGTGGTAGTGTCAAAAGGAAGTTGAGGTTTCACCCCAAAACCAATTGGCAATGGGAGGAGTAGCCCAACTCTTTAGAAGCCCTTGCTAGGTTTCTTAACTTTCCAATGTGGGACTATTTACCTTTGTATTCTCACACGCCCCCGCACATATGGTGAATTTTCAAGCTTAATATGTGGACAACACATATAGCACGTGTGACTGTTGGGCTTTTACACGTGGGCTAACCCACTTTGATACCATGAAGGATGTTAAGGTTTCACCCCATAACCAATTGGCAATGGGGGGAGTAGCCCAACTCCTTATAAGCCTTTGCTAGGCTTCTCAACTTTCTAATATGGGACACTTTACCTTCGACCTCTCTACAAGGAGTCAAACAAGTTAAAGTTAGTTAGAATATTGTTGTTAAGTCTCTGTTTAGACATCTATAGTTTTGATAAGATATGTTAGAATATTGTTAGAGCAGGACTCTTGTACAGTAAGCAAAGTTAGTTTTTAGTATTTGTATAAATACTCTTATGTAATTTAATTATCATTAATGAGAATCTATATTTTTCTATAATGTCTATGGAAATGTGTTAAGTGTTGAGAAGGATGATGATTGTACACTTTTGGTTAAAGTGGTGAGCAAAAATGCTCTCTAAAAAAGGGCTTCTCGTGCCCATTCTGCTTGCGAAGAGGCATTATTAAATTTGTTTTTTTAAAGAGTCAACAAAAATGTACACTTCATGCATAGATCCAGGAATGGATGGTCTATATTTATTAGGACCAGATCCGTTGTCCTCATTTTCTATGTCCCTTCGTCTTCCTTTTATAATTTTTTGACATGTGTCCAATCTCTTAACCCCAACATAACGTTGTTAACTTGAATGAATTAGAAAAATAACAACAAAAAATTAAAAGAAAAAAAAAACCAAACAACCACCATCACCTCACCTGCCGCAACCGCAACCCCTTCTCCTCCTCACTGCGGACCAGACCTCTCCCTTGAGTTTCTCTCTTTCATACCATGATCATGATCTCAAGACATCGACCCCAATGTGATTTTGAAGCTCTCTCTGCACATCGCCATTAACGTTGCCTCCAAGATTGCTGGGTTGCCTTCCAAATTCAGATGTTGTCGGAATGGTGCGATAGCCTATTTGGCGAGCGACAGAGAGGAGGAGATGAGGTTGCCCGACATTGAGGAGAGATGAATGCCGCCAATGAGATGAGTGTGGGTGGTTGTTGAGTGTTGGCTGGGTTATTGAGTTGGCGGCTGCTAGCTAGGATCTAGTGTTGTTTTTGCTTTGTTTTGTTTTTTTGCTTTTAATATTTAAATTTTATTCAAGTTAACAAAGTTATATCAGGGTTAAGAGGTTAGACGCATGTCAAAAAATTATAAAAGGGACACAAAGAGGCATGGAAAATGGAGACATCGGATCCCGGGCTGTATTTGTCACCTGCCCTATTTTAACTTATGATAAAAGAACAAAAAAGGAGAATTTATCAAAAATAGCCAAAACTCCCTAATTTCAAAAATGTCAACTTTGGTAAAATATTTCAAATATAGCCAAAAGCTCATTTAAATAGACACAAATGTCCTCAAATGTAAAACCCACATAATCCTGAAAAAGAAACTTTATTAAATAAAACTTTGGAATATTTTTAGCCCACGTTTGTATAGAAGAACATAAGTTGATTTATATCATCCAATTTATTGATAAATGAATAAATTTGTACTCAAAGGGTGATGCCATAGATTACGTAAAGTGTGTACAAGAGAACACACTCACATCAAAAGTAACCCAAGTAAACTAAATTTATCAATCCAGCACAACATCAGTAAAATAGCTATTTTACTTAATAATCTGCAATATGTAATATGCGGAATACAAAATCTAGCCTTCCACACCATATAAAAAAAACTTGGATAAATTTGAAATTACAAAGAGATTAGAATGCTAAATTGAGAGATGAGGTTGCCCGACATTGAGGAGAGATGAATGCCGCCAATGAGATGAGTGTGGGTGGTTGTTGAGTGTTGGCTGGGTTATTGAGTTGGCGGCTGCTAGCTAGGATCTAGTGTTGTTTTTGCTTTGTTTTGTTTTTTTGCTTTTAATATTTAAATTTTATTCAAGTTAACAAAGTTATATCAGGGTTAAGAGGTTAGACGCATGTCAAAAAATTATAAAAGGGACACAAAGAGGCATGGAAAATGGAGACATCGGATCCCGGGCCGTATTTGTCACCTGCCCTATTTTAACTTATGATAAAAGAACAAAAAAGGAGAATTTATCAAAAATAGCCAAAACTCCCTAATTTCAAAAATGTCAACTTTGGTAAAATATTTCAAATATAGCCAAAAGCTCATTTAAATAGACACAAATGTCCTCAAATGTAAAACCCACATAATCCTGAAAAAGAAACTTTATTAAATAAAACTTTGGAATATTTTTAGCCCACGTTTGTATAGAAGAACATAAGTTGATTTATATCATCCAATTTATTGATAAATGAATAAATTTGTACTCAAAGGGTGATGCCATAGATTACGTAAAGTGTGTACAAGAGAACACACTCACATCAAAAGTAACCCAAGTAAACTAAATTTATCAATCCAGCACAACATCAGTAAAATAGCTATTTTACTTAATAATCTGCAATATGTAATACGCGGAATACAAAATCTAGCCTTCCACACCATATAAAAAAAACTTGGATAAATTTGAAATTACAAAGAGATTAGAATGCTAAATTGAAAACGAACGGTGGAGCAAGTTAGAAACAACTCTGCCACTGCCAACAATATTATCAAGTATTTTGCATATATTTTTAACCACCAAACAAAATTAAAGCAGATTAATAAAATAGGAATCCCATGATAAGTTCCAGAAAGCTGCTCCTAGAAAATTACATACTAAAATGCAAATTAAATATAAAAGGGAAGAAAAAACCATAGAAGTTAGGCAAGGAAGTTTAAAGTGCAGTATGGAGAATAAATGAAGAAGAAACTGAACGAAGAATCAAGGAAGAACTACACTCATTGTTTGACTAGGGCAGCAATACATCTGCAAATGTACGTAGAAAGATTCCTAATCTAATAGAGTTTTCTTTTTTAGGTTTATGTGAGTTTGAAATTTAAGTACATTTGTGTCTATTTAGATGAGTGTTTTTTTGCTATATTTGAAATATTTTACAAAAACTGACATTTTTGAAATTAGGAGTCAATTGGCTATTTTTGATAAATTCTCAACAAAAAAAAGCGGCTCTAAATATAAAAGGTACCCATTTCGGCAGTCACAGCCTCACAAGCTCGATTTCTTCTTCCCCTGCTTCTCATTCTCTGTCTCTCTTGCTCCCCAGTTCTTACATAGAACTCATTTTTTGTAGCAGAAAGATTTAAGCCATGGAAGAAAAGGCTGGTGGATCATGGAGATGTCACTGGCTCTGAGTGGTTTTACTTTTACAGTGTTTCTTTAACCCAGTCGTTTGCAGCAGGCCATGCCACCAATAATATTCTGGGCCGAGCATTCTGTTCTGGTGGTTTTGTTTGGCTTGCAGGTGCTCATGAGCTTCAATTCTATGAGTGTGAGAGAGTGAAAGAAGCTAGAAGGCATGGAATTCAAACTTTGGTTTGCATTGCAACTCCGTATGGGGTGCTTGAATTGGCTTCTTTGGATGTGATCAAAGAAGATTGGGGCCTTGTGCATCTATCAAAATCACTCTTTAGATCAGATAACAGCAACAACAACAGGGTCTCGCAGCAACAGGGCAGCCGTCAGGGCAATGTGCTTGCTCCTCTTCTAGAAAAGGGGATCTTCTCAGGATCTCAGAAGGAACTGGCCAGACAAGGTAAACAGGAAACTTGTCAATTAGTCCTTTATATCGGACATTCTTTGTGAATTTTTTGATTGAGTTTGTCCTTGACATTGATACTTTTGTCCATATTTTTACCAGCAGCTGGTACAAAGGAAGCTGCACCTATCACTATAGGTGGATCATCACCAGAATCACTCTCTGGCTCTGTTGGAAACTTCACATGTGAGAATACAGAAAACACTCGATCGAAAAAGAGACGCAGATCATCGAACAATGGGGCTAGTAGAGAATCATCATTGTTAAACCATGTTGAGGCAGAGAGACAGCGGAGAGAGAAGCTTAACCATCGATTTTATCTCCTCCGGTCTGTTGTTCCCAATGTCTCCAAAATGGACAGATCCTCTTTACTTGCTGATGCTGTGGCATACATCAATCAGCTGAAAGCAAAAGTTGAGGAATTGGAGCTCAAAACACAAGCACAACCTCAAAATACTGAAAGGGTTAGCGTTAATAATCTTGACAATCAGTGCAGCCAGAGCACCAGCTCCATAGTTGATCATCATAATCATCATCATCATTCAAGTTATAATAATAGAACAGTTGTGCCAGTGGAAGTGGAAGTGAAGATTAGGGGATCAGAAGCGATAATACGAGTTCAGTGTCCGGATCAAGACTACCCGTATGCTCGATTGATGAACGCACTCAAAGGTCTGGGGTTACAAGTTTACCATGCAAGCATATCGAGTGTGAAAGAGTTGATGATTCAAGATGTTGTGGCAAGAGTACCTTATGGGTTCAATAGTGATCAGGAGGCCATGAGAACCGCCATTATGAAAAGATGGCACAGATAGAAATCATCAAATCAGTACTTAGCTTCCATCCCTAGCTAATGATGAAAATGATTTCCCATTGATTTTCTCATTCGTCTTCTTTGGTAGTGCTTGTTGTAATTCAAAATGGGTGAAAGTTAATTATCAAGTGAGTTTTTTTTTCCTACCTCTATTTTATTTTCAAAATCTGTCATCTATATCTCTAGGGTTTTTTAACCAGAATAAAATTTCATGATAGACCCAGCAGCACCTTGCTGAAACATATAATCTCAAGCATGTTTGCAATCGGGTTTGCCCATCCTCCGACCAACATATTGTCCCTATACTCTCAAATGGATAAAGAAAATGATTTGTAGGTCAATAATTGTCACATTGCATTATTGTCTGGATTTTTCACTCATTCCTTTACCGGGTCCAGTATGTCAGTTTGAGGTTGTGTGGCTATATATGCCTAGATTTTGAACCCTAGCCACTTAAAGTCAAGCCCATCTCACCAATTGGCCTACATGCTCATTTGTAATTACATTTTTTTTTTCTCAAGCTTCAATGGAATTAGACTCAATCGCACATCAAAACACAACATAATTGCAAACATGGGCTTAGTGAAATTGGCTAGAGCTATACTCCCCATTATGCACTCAAGTTCGAATCCCCCTCCCAGTAGTTTAGATTAAATTACTATAATTTACTTTTTTGTTGTTGTCATTTTCATTAAATTACTATGATTTATTTTATTTTTTTAAAGGCATAGGTTTTTTTTTTAAAGAAAATTGTTAAAAAATTTAACTTATAATTAAATGAAATTGAATAATGAAGTTGGAGAAACACTTTGCTTATCAATCTCTTGAAGCTAGAATGATGAATACTTAAACAAACACATTTTCAAGTTCAAGAGCCTTGGCCCATGTAAGGTGACAGCCTAGGACCCAAGGAATCACGCCACAAAATTTTGAAAATTGGTGCATACATATATAGGAAAAAAAAAAACTTTAAAAAAAATTAGAATAATGGTAGGAAAAACAATTCTTAGAGTCCAATTATTTTTCTTTTAAAAGGCCTAATTCATTTTTTGTGTATGACCCAAAACTAATTGTTAAATTCACATAATAAATTTTTATTTTAGATGTAATGAAATGAGTTTATTTATTTTGCTTTTTAAAAAGTTTTTAATTATACTCGATCACTCACACCTCTTCTCACTACCTTCTGTGCTCCCAACAACTCACGCTGAAAAACTTTTCAACCACTCCTATGTACCAAATTGTCTAATGAAGAATACGTACCAAATTGTCCAGTGCCCTAGAAATTGTCAAATGATTGAAGGGAGGAAGACTTGAGCTAAACAACTACAGTTTGGTGGCTGTCATGGGCGTCAGTCCAACGACAGGTTTTTTTTTTTTTTTTTTTTTTTTTTTTTTTTTTTTTTTTTTTTTTTTTCAGTTTTAAATATTTTCAATCTAAATTTTCAAAATTTATCTCAAATTTTAATTCTATATCCACTAAATTTTTGTTGTCCAAAATATTCACTAAATGATTTTCAAGCAAGGGCTTCCATTTTCAGTCCTCCTAATTTTATGAAGTATCCTTAGAGTATCCGCAATGGTTGCTCAACAGTTCATTTCAGTTCAATTCAATTTATTTAACTCTTTTGGCAGCTATTGAACTGAACTGCAGTTTCACTTGCAGTGGGGCAGTTCAATAGCTTACAATTAAAAATTATATTTTTGTAAATATCTTTTTAAATGATTGAATAAAATAAAATAAATCAAGTTAATTATGATAAAAATTATATAATTAAAATGGTTTCAAAGAAATCTTTAAAAAGAGACCAATTTTGAATTAAAAAAAACAAAAAAAACAAAATTTTCTATTGAAAAATAAAATTTCAACATAAACAATTTTTTTTGTGGGTGTAGGAAGTTGTGGGAGAGTTATTTTCTACATATGTATTTATAGGTAAATAACTAGTTGTTTGAAAAGGGAACTAGCCATTTGTGTTTTTGAAAAGTGAAATAAAATAGCAATGGTTAGTATATATAATTGGCTATTTTTTTTTTAAAGTGAAACAAATAAATAATGGCTAGTATATATATTAACTAGACTTTTTTTTAACAGTGGAATAAATCAGAAACGACTAGTGGCTTTGAAACATAAAAGTAAAGGCTAATTGCGGACCTAAAATTTTTTATAGGGGTAGGCTAAATTTTATTTTTAACAGGAGATATATTATAAACCTTTTTTCTTTTGAAACAAAAAGGTAAATAAAATTTTATAAATCAAATAAGGCCACATTTCGAGCAAATATAACACAAAGAAGTACAAAATATAAATAAATATCAAATCAAACACATTGTTCAACTACTTGAGATCTGAGTTGAGTAAGTTCCTTGGGAATTGAAGTATATCAACATCATATGCAGAAGGTGTATCCTTGTTATCGTTATTGTTTTTTTTTTTTTTTTTTTAAGAATGAATAAATAGTTTTTCCTCTCTTTGCCGGTCTATTATTATCATGTGACATGATATCCTAACAAGAAATACTAGACACCAAAAATCATATATGCTAATTAATAATTCAAGCTGCAAAAATAGAACATATATAACAATCCCCAAAAGTTTTCACCCAAACCCTAAATCATAAAAACTTAATAACAACAATTAAAATTGAAAATTGAATATAAAAAAAAGAGAGAAAAACTTACCAAGATTGAAGAACCCATTGAAGATAGGTTGGTACAATTTTTTAGAGGGGGAGAGCTATTTCCCCTAGGCTTTGAAGTTTCAAATATGGTGTTTTGGGTGGCTAGAAGAAAAATTATGATGTTTGCTTCTAATCAAATTTATATAGGTTATGGATTGCATGTTTACTATTTGCTATATACTTCAAGAGTGGGTGTATTTTAAATAGAGGGTTAAACTATTATTTACTTTACCTAAATTTGGTTTATACCACTAAGCCTACAAACAAAATCAGCACTAGGCTGAAGTGTAGATCCACCCTTGGTAAAGGCTAGTTTACACTAATTAAATGCAATTAAAAAATTAAAAAGTAAAAAGTAATGTTGCCCATGTGTCAATAAGAGAGAGGTTGTAGAGTTATTATGGTGGACTAACTTATTGAAATGAATTTCATTTTAGAGTTCATTTGACATAAGAGAGAGGTTGTAGAGTTATTATGGTGGACCAACTTATTGAAATGAATTTCATTTTAGAGTTCATTTTATTGACCTATAAAATAAACTATTGATCCCTGAAATGAAATATTGATCTTTGAAATAAACTATCGTCAATAATATAGCATAAATATGGCTAGAAGTTGGTTTTCTGCAGCGTATCTATTTTGATGAATTAGTTTATGGGATTTTGAAGAAATGTCACCCGAACTTATACCTCAGTTTAAATTTATCACCTTAAAGAAAATTTTCAGAGATACGTCATCTTAATTTTTTAAAGTCCATGATTTGTCATCTCACTTTAACATTATCCAATTTTCCATCCATTTTAAGGATATTTTAGTCTTTCCATTTTCAAAGAAAAAAAAAGAGAAAAAAGATTCATCTCTCCCTTTCTCCACCACCCCCACCCCATCGGCCCCCAAAACACATTGTATAGGACCCCCTCCCCCTTTACTCTCTCTGTCTCGGTTTCTCTCTTTCTCTCTGAGCATGTATAAATTTTTTTTTATGGTGTTCATTGAGCATGTCTAAAATCTTCCCCAAAAAACAATTTAAAAAAGGTGGACTCGGTTTGGGTGGGCTGAGGAAATTTCTGTACGGATGGTAGGTGTTCCATGGTAGAGAGAGAATGAGGAAGGGGGAGAGTGAAGAGGTTAGAGGGAATGAATTTCAAGGTGGGTGGGGTTGGGTGGAGCTGCCGGTAGCTCATAAGGGATGGGGGAAGGTGAGAATTTTTTTTTTAAATTTTAATTATTTAAAAGATATATAATTTTTTTATATAATCATGGATGGTGTTAAAATCAGATAACAAATTATGGATTTTGAAAAATGAAGGTGACATTTCTCTTAAATATTTCATTAAGGTGACAAATTGAAATTGTGGTATAAGTTCAGGTGACATTTGTATAAAGGCTTCATATCACAAAAGATCCCTAAGGTTTATGAAACTATCAGATTGCATCCTTATTTTTTTATTTTTTTTGTCATTCGTGGTCCTCAAGGCTAGTATGTGTGCTCACAAATGGTCCATGCCGTCAAGTTCCGTCAAATACTCCGTTAGTTTGCTATATGTATTTTTTTAAAATTAAAATTTAAAATTCATAAAAGACTTTATATCACAAAACATCCCCGAGGTTCACGAAATTATCATATTGCATCCTTTTTTTTTTTGGTGTGTCATTCATGGTACTCGAGGTTAATATGTGTTAGGCAATTATCATAGTTATGACTAGTAAAGGGCCAATGAATGCTAGCATTTCATTATCTGCTACTGTTATGATATTATTAGGCTATCAATGTATTTTCGTTATGTTGTAACTAATAGATCTACCATCCTATATATAAATAGGTTGTAATATCTGTTGGCGCTAAATCTGAACAGATAGAGATGAGTGCAACTTACAAGCGGTGTGAACGATCTAGCAGATCGATTGAGTGATAGATGGAGATTCTTCCTGTCTTCAGATGCTGATCCTGAATAGAAGATAAGCGAAGCTCGTGAGGTCTATGGAACCGGTGTGGAACCAGCCTAAGACCCTCCGATGCTCAAGTAAGATTGTTTTTTAAGAGCTCTTGTTGTTGACCATATAAAAGTATAGAAGTCAAGCTTAAAAGTCTTACCCCTGTGTTGTAGTGGAGGGGCCTATTTATAGAGGGCATTTTGTATGCTCTTAGTACTCATTTTCGATGTGGGACTCGTGGGAGGGCCTTCTGAGGTCGACACGAGTCCTTAGATATTTTGGGCGGATACTTCGAGGTTGATTCTCTACAATCGGTAAGGGATGCCGATTGTAGACGAGCTTGGCCTGTAATGGCTGTTCGCAGCTTTGAGACAATGCCATCGGTGGCTGATGCCGATTGTCCGGGGCCTTGGGTACTTGGGCGAGTCTGTAAGATCCACGTGTCGTTGTACGAGTGGAAGGTTAGATATGGTACAAACAGTAGTCCCCCA